ATTATTATCTGATTTGAAAAGATATCTGATAGACTGATTGAAAGGATTGCTGATAGCGGATGCATTAAGAAATAAAAAAACATGTTTTCCCAAGTACAGCTCATACCATACGAAGAGATTTATTAATGTAAAATGTGCATACACTTATGTTCCTTTATTTAATTTTCAGTGGAAAATATTATGATGCTATTTCTGATTTTACCCCACCGTTTGCGACCCGAAAGGAAATGACTATACAACATAAATCAAAGGAAACAATAATAAATTACTTCGCACAAATACTGAAAAGTTGTGTTAACCCGAAATAAAGGCTTTGTGATAAATATCCAGAAAAAATGTATCAGGTTGCACAATATTAGTAACCGCTGAATATAAAGCTCGTCATGATATAATTAGTCAATATCTGCAGTGGACACTATGCATTTATTACGGGAAGGAAAATGAAAGCAATTAGTATGAAAAACACACTGACCCGGTTACAGTCATAGGACCTGTAAAAATTTTATGAGACTTTACAGTATACACAGAAAGCTAATGGCCCAGGAATCATGATCGAGAACCAAAGACAGAGACAGAATGCGCCTTCTTTTTGATATGGCATTTCCAGCAGATTGTAATGTATCTTTGAAGATATATTTAAAAAAACTATCAATATACGGTTATATTGAATATCTCAAAAATGTGGCACTTGAGGAAACGGATAATTCCAGTTGTAGCTGGAGTCCACGGATTGATTGGAAAATGTCTCAATAGACACATTCAAGTGATCCCTGGTAGCCCATACGTTAAATAAATAGAAATATTTTAACCACAAGTACAGCTCGCAGGGCTTTATATATGTAAAATGTGTGTGATTAGGTTACCTCTTTCCTTTTACAAAAATACTTAGTGAAAATGTTGTGATGCTATTTCGAATATAAATCTCTGGTTGAGACCCGGAATGAAATGGGTACACAACAGAAACCAGAAGAAGAAGAAGAAGAAGAAGAAGAAGAAGAAGAAGAAGAAATAATAATAACAACAACGACGACGACGACGACGACAAGAAGAAGAAGAAGAAGAACAAGAAGAACAAGAAGAAGAAGAACAACAACAACGACGACGACGACGACAAGAAGAAGAAGAAGAAGAAGAAGAAGAAGAAATAATAACAACAACGACGACGACGACGACAAGAAGAAGAAGAAGAAGAAGAACAAGAAGAAATAATAATAACAACAACGACAACAACAAGAAGAAGGAATAATAACAACAACAACAACAACGACGACGACAAGAAGAAGAAATAATAATAACAACAACTACAACGACGACAAGAAGAAGAAGAAATAAGAATAACAACAACGACGACAGGAAGAAGAAGAAGAAGAAGAAGAAGAAGAAGAACAAAAAGTAGAAGAAGAAGAAATAATAATAACAACAACGACGACGACGACAAGAAGAAGAAGAAGAAGAAGAAGAAGAAAGAGGAGGAGGATTATATTAGTTAAAATATGGCTATAATAACTCAGTTTTTAAAGAATAATTACAATTTTAATTTTGATCATAAAATAAAGCCAAACATTTAATCCTGACTGACGATGTACCACTTAGCATAATTATTTATCAAACTTATATCTTGCCAGTCAAGCTTTTACTTTTTTCGGTTTTTTAATTTTTAATGTTATTATAAAATTACATCTTTTTCCCTACGTTAAAATTCCAGCTTGACTCTTATCATTATTATTACTTTTGTGTCTTACTCTTTTCCTTATTTTTTTTATTTCCCCCTCTTCTCTTAAAATATACAACCCTCTCCATTCGTAAATACTGTTTGTTCCTTCTTTTGTCTTTATTTCAAACACTTAATTTCGTCAATATATTATGCCGTGCACGACTGCGCTTGCACTAATCACACCGGAAATCAATGAAAATATATTACTTCCTATTTAAAGCGTTACCGAACTAACCATGCTAATTAAGATTCCACCACCTATTGTTTGCAAACAGGAAAAGTTTCTTTCAGAAATCTTTTAAATTTTGAATTTATTTTTTCCAGACCTACGCAAATGTTTCCTCCATATCCGTTTGATGCATTGAGTAGTAAAATTTAGATTTTTCATCTTTTCCTTTTTTAAGCGTTTAGTTTATTCTTCTTTGTGCCTTCAGTGGCAATTCTCCCTCGGGAAATGAAGAGTTCCACTATAAAAACTAAAGTAAAATAAAATTTGTAAAATAAACAAAAGATAAACAAAGAGAGAAACATCACTTCTGAATAGATGAGAGTAAAGCTGAAAAAGTATTTTAGTGTGATCAATATTTGATAAACAAATTTTTAAAAAAAAAAGTAACAGATTCCATGCTATTTGGTTTTAATCTTATAATGGACAGGAAATGATGCTTATGTTTCTTTTATCAAATCCAAAAAAAAGAACATAGATATAAAATTAAATCCAATTAGTAAATTTTTACTATTAAATGACACATTAATTTTGTACGTGTATGCTTCTCATTGTAACCTTTTTATGCATCGCCTTTTAAATAGTTGGCAAAAATCGAATCAGTTTTGAGAAGTTTTAATGAAACGACAAGAATCAATAAATTAGAAAAGTCTATAATGAAAATTGTATTAAAATAAGAGAGGAATAAAAAAAGGAATCGTTAACAAAATATTGTGAAAGAAACTAATGACCCAGAAAAGAAAACTAGTTAATAAATGAAAAAGGGAATCTCAAATCTAATGGTAAGAGGGAAGTGAAAAGTGCTTAGAAAAAAATATGCGTTATATAGCGATAAAAAGACAAAATAAAAAACAGAAAGGAGGAGTAAATAAAACAAGAGTAGAATTTTCATCACCGATACAGTTTCCATATCTGTTGAAAATATGCGTAGCAAATTTGCTATTGTTTCACGAATAGCTTGGGAAATTAGGATAATATCAGAAAAAAAATTTGCTTATCCCGATAAACAGTACAAATAGTTCAGCGTCAGTTCTAATGACAAGTTACGTTTTGATACTTTTTTATAGTTATCATTTTCCCCGCGAGGTCAAATGTTAACAGAATGTAAAAGTCTGTAAGTAAATATAGTAGGTCCATTCAAGAAGTTGTGAGTCATTTTTGTAGACGTAATTATAATTTTTCATAAATTATTATAGTTTTAACATGTAATTACTATGCATCTAATAAGATGATTTGCTAATTTTTGTTATTCTAGATTCATGACACCCTACTAAACACTGCTTGCAATAGCTGAAATGTTTGCAGGCTGCAGTCAGGACGTGAAGAGAATTTGGAAGCTGGCTGTGAAATAATTTTTGTGTTAAACTGGACAAAACAAAAAAAAAAGCTTCAGAAACGTATAAAAAGCTACAGATGGATTATCGGTTAAATTGTATGAGCCAAACATCTGATTTCCGCTGTCACAAAAGTTTCTGGTCGATGGAGACGATGAGAAGGACGATGGGCAATGTCGGATGGAAACAATGTGGGCGTGGACATCAAAACGTCAGAACTCTTAGGAAATTTGCGATTTTTTGAATGAAGATCGTCATGTCCCTTTAAAGACAATGTGAATACAGTTTAGATTTTGTGTGGCGACGATATACAAAATAATTCGTGAAGATCTGAACATGCACAAAATTTATGAAAAGTTTGTTCCCGGCTTGCTCATTGACGATCAGAAGGAAAGACGCTGTGGTTAGAGCAGGGATATGGTTGATGATCATTCTCCCTACAGACTAGACATTGCTCCATGTAACTGTGGGTTGTTTCTCAAACTGCAGAAGGATCTCTGGTACGGTCATTTTAAAGACATTGAAGGAGGTCGTGACAAGGCCTGAAAGATTTTCCTTTGGCATGAATTCCATGAGTCATTCACAGGGTTGCTGGAGCGCTATAACAAGTTTGTTATAGGAGATTTGTGCCTTGCACTTATTTGAAATTAATAAATGCCTCTACTGAAAATGTCTCAAAAACTTATGTAACACACATCGTATCAGCAGACGCTCACAATCCGAATTCTAAACAATAAGCATGCATTCTAATACAAGAGAATGTTGCATTAGCCCTGTTTCTTAATATATTTATTATTATTAAATAACGCATAAAATGTAAAAACATATATTTCTGTGGTATTACATATAGGAGAAAAACGTTTAATGAACTTGACATTATATTTCAGACTATTGTAAATTAATATATAAACAGTTTCGACATGTTTATATTTGGAATACAGCGTTTTGTATAGTTTTCTCATTGAGGCATAAATTTTACTAATCTATCGATGCTATTGTGACTTTCCAGAATAAAAGGCGTCGTGATTTAGCAAGCGTTAAATTTGACGTGGGCAATCACTTCACAGTTTCTTTCTATCTGTTATGAAGATTGTTGTTGTTTATGAGAATAAAGAGAGAGAGAGAGAGAGAGAGAGAGAGTGAAAATTGAATATATATTTTTTTCCTCAACAATACCCATGGAATATATTTTCTGTACTTATATCCAGAGATATATCCCCATTAAAAATACTGCCAACTTCTTTATGTATGTCAGGTTTTGCAATTCTAGGGCGCCAACTTAAGTAGGAAAAATAAATAACTCAGTTTAGCCATAACGAAAATGGACATAAAAAAAAGATATTAAGAAATCGCTTACAATGAGCAAAAATGAGAAAAAATTAATTAGACTTTTTTTCAAAATCAACTATTCCGAAAAGATTCTGGTGATTCAAAAATAGAAAGAGGCGTGAGACTCTAACGCCGAGAAAGAATGAACCTCGGAATGACAGTAAGAAAAATGAATGTAAAAGAATAAAAATAAATGGTAATATCAGTCTTATGCCATGCGTGATACACGCGTAGGCGATCATTCGATGCATGACATACGAGGCAGACATTTCCCGCAGTAGGTTGCCATTTCTTTCTGCAGAAGACCAGTTGCCATCCAAAGCAATAGACCCCGGTCTGTCCTGCTATTTACACATAGCTGGGAGGAGAAGAGGAGGATTCATACTTTTACCAAGTAATGAATTCTCTGATACATCAATCTGAGGTGCTATCCATTACTCCACCGTGCCTCAAACATTACTCCACCGTGCCTCCAAACTTACTCCACCGTGCCTCCACCATTACTCCACCGTGCCTCCAATCTTACTCTACCGTGCCTCCACCATTACTCCACCGTGCCTCCAAACTTACTCGACCGTGCCTCCAACATTACTCCACCGTGCCTCCAAACTTACTTCACCGTGCCCCCACCATTACTCCACCGTGCCTCCAACATTACTCCACCGTGCCTCTAATCTTACTCCACCGTGCCTCCAACATTACTCCACCGTGCCTCCAAACTTACTCCACAGTGCCTCCAACATTACTCCACCGTGCCTCCAAAATTACTCCACCGTGCCTCCACCACTACTCCACCGTGCCTCCACCATTACTCCACCGTGCCTCCAAACTTACTCCACCGTGCCTCCAACATTACCCCACCGTGCCTCCAATCTTACTCCACCGTTCCTCCAAACTTACTCCACCGTGCCTCCAAATTTACTCCACCGTGCCGCCGAAATGATAATATAATAAACGAATTTTATTTAAATGATTATTTGTCTAAGCCACAGAGATCACATTAAACTTAGATTTCGCCCCCTAAAGAATAAAAGTCTCAAACATTTGCCCTAAAATAATTATCGCCGATTGATTAACACTTTCTAACTTATTATAAAGTTTATATTTTCAAGAACTTCGACGAAATGTTCCCATGAAATAAAACTTCATGAAGGAAATAGAATGAAAATGCTGTTTTGCCTCGAGTAGGTTTTGATGATAAAAAGGCCTATTGTTTTAAAGACCTACAAGTGTTCGATTTATAGTTTGGTAAGGTTAAATGAGAAGCCTGTTAATGACTTCGTAAGGAAATATATCTTTACATTTTTTCATATAGACATAAAAAGTATTTTGTATCCAATTGACAAACTGTCAAAGGGAGCGATTTTCTCCAATGACATGAATAAATCGACCTGAAAACTAATTGTATTTAAAAATATAATTTTGCATAAATATTTTATTAAAACAATATTTATCCCAGACATATTAGTTTGCCCTCTAAATTTTGAAGGGTATAAAACAAACAGTCTTGTTTAATGTTTCACTTTTAACATTCATTCTTTCGTTTATTCAGTTATCGCATTTTATGCCGCTGTGGTCACAACCCCCTCCATCTCTTTCTATTTGATGCTAACTTTACAGCTTCAGCGACCGTAATTCCGGTCCACCTCTTAATATAATAAAACCAAGACATGGGTGGTTTTCCCTAGCACCACATGTCTTTCACTATGTCCAAGCAGAATGTCCTTAACAAAAGCCTTCTCGCCGTATAATATGCTAAAATTAACGGAGGTCCCTTTGTACCATCTGTTCTCTCAATACACATCTCATTCAAGGTGATATGTAGCAAGCACTCATTAGTGCGTTTCGCGGACCGTAGCACTCAAAATACACTGCCCACATCTTGAAAGAATCCAGAAGACGTTTTTTTTTCCTCTTGGTCTGTGACGATTACTAGCATCTGGTGCTGGCAATGATAAACGAAATGGCTCCTAGTAATTTCAACTTTAACCTGATATGTATATGCGACTGGTCCAGATGCTTTTGCCGTAGCAATTTTAGTTATTGCCACCATTTTTGTTCGCCCACGTAGAGCTTCCCTGGATATTGATAGTGGAGACAAGGTTACATTTTGAAATATACTAAACTATATATTTTCTCTATTTGAAAGATTTTACTAGAATATGCATAAATAAATAATCCATATAATGGATAAACAATAGAGCATTACTTAGACTAATCATACAATATGTTTTTAATGTAGATCCTTTCGTACTGAGTTTTGCTGTTTTTTATTTTATAGTTAATATATGATTCAGATTAGTTTTTAAATATTTGCAAATGCTTGGCTATGAAAACATTTTGCGACATATTTACCTTTTAAATAGAGCTTTGCGTCTAAATCTCTAGTTGAGACTCTAAATTAATTATTACTATTTTCTATTTCCAGAATAAAAGGCATCCGGACTTAGTGACTGTTAAATAAGTATGGCTCACTTTCTATCTTATACGAATATTTTTTTCGTTTATAACAATCAAGAAAAGCAGTGAAGCTAACAAGATCCTACTTACGTAAATAATATTTATGTAAAATATTTTATATATTAGTATTCCAAAATATATACTAAATACAAATATTGTTAACTTATAAGTGAATGTTACGCATTACTTTTCAATGGTGCTAAAACGTGTGTGCCATAATGTCAGATATAGATGAATAAATTATAAATTATAAATGTTCACATGTTTATAAGGGCTCTTGTAATTATAGAAAAAACTTCATTAGTTATTTATCCATTTATAGTAACGTTTCTATTTTTTCGATTTTAACATAAACACTATGTATGGATCAGTTATAATTAAAGGATAAGCAAATAGTCATAGGATAGTTTGGCTTTGTACAACACATCAAGATTGTAGAAAACGAACATATTAACCTCGGAAACCGACTCATTTTCTTACATGGCCTCGTCAGATCGAGACACTGATATGGATGTTATACAGACCAGACTCGTCCAGGCATGTTTGAAACATCGGCAATATACAACTGTTTTTTTTTCAAGTTGTTGAACAAACTAGTAAAATCAATGTTCAATATACAAATTTTACGAGAGTTGTTCAAAGGTCTCTAAGCCTCACACAAAATGAAGGGTCAAGGCTGAATATTTTTGTTGTGGCAGCTTATACTACTTATAAAACTTTCTCTTCCATTTCTGAGGAAGCTTAAATAAAAGCTAAAGATGTTAAATGTTATAAACGTTTCATATTTGCCTCTTGACACATCACAAAGATCGATTAAAACGTTTTAATCCTCCCATAGAAAGAAGAGCACTAAGTGAAGATTTTGTTGCCGTGGCAGCACACTACCACTAATTATAAAATCAATGTTCAATGTTCAAATTTTTCGAGAGTTGTTCAAAGGTCTCTAAGCCTCACACAAAAAGAAGGGTCATAGCTGAACATTTTTGTTGTGGCAGCTTATACCACTTCTTATAAAACTTTCTCTTCCATTTCTGAGGATGCTTAAACAAAATCTAAAGATGTTAAATTTTATAAACGTTATATATTTGCCCCTTGACACATCACAAGGATCGATTAAAACGTTTTAAGCCTCATATAAAAAGAAGAGCACTAGCTGAATATTTTGTTGCTCTGGCAGCACACTATCACTTCTTATAAAACTAGAAAAAACTAATTTAGATTCCTGTCTTAATTTCTGTGCAAAGGTGTGCAGCCAATCTAAAAATGGAGGAACAGAAAAAACTTCCTAAGCAATCGTGAAGAATTGGGCTGCGAATTCAAGCGGGACGGACAGGGAGAGCAGAGAAGATGATACACGGTCAAGTCGTCCAAAAACCTCAACCACTGATGTAGAAGTTGATACCATTTACCGTATGGTTTTGGATGACAGACTTCTTACTCTCCAGCATATTTCTAAGTACACAGGTATTGTTTCTGGTTTGGTCCGTATTATTTTAACTGACATCTTGAGGAATAGCAAGATGTCTACAATATGGACCCGAAAAATGCTGACATCAGAGCAGAAGCTGAAAAGTGTTGATATTTCTAGAACACTTCTGACTCATTTCCAGTCTGACTCTGGGGATTTCCGCCTCAGATTAGTAACTTATATGAAACATTAGTTTACCACTTCGAACCTAAATCAAAGATTCTAAGCAAACAATTAAAACAAGCCCGAGGAATTTCAAGCGGGCAGCACGATGATGGATTCTGTTATTTTTGGATTCTGAAGATGTAATCGGGATAGATTTAATGGAAAAATGGAAATTCTATTAATTGACAGTACTATTCATCAAAATTAAGACAGCTGAAGGAAGCAATCAAGTCGAAACGTAGAGGGAAGCGGGGGGCATGTTTGCTCTTGCTTCAGGATAAAGCACCCGTTCACACTGTTCAGGTTTCAGTAGCTGAAACAGTTAACTGTGGCTTTGTATTTTTAACCAACCGCCTTACTCACCAGTCTTAGCTCCATCTAACGTCTTCCTGCTTCCGAAATAAATATAAAAGCTGCGTCGCCATTTTGAAAACAATGATAGGAAGGTATATGTTATGGATTAGGTTTTGTGGGACCAGGATGCTACCTTCTTCCGTGTCGGGATTCCTATGCTTATGCATCGTTGGACCAAGTTCACTGATATCAATAATGGGGACTATATTGAAAAACTGTTGTTTCTCCAATTCTTTAGAATGTCTGAACTGGCCATTGTATGTATATAGTTAAAAAGAAAATACTAACAGTTTTCAAAAGTTTTATTATATGTAGACAATTCTTACTATTTGTGTCTCATTTATTATGCATATATCGATAAATCAATAACACTATTGATCACCGACTCTAAAGTCTAGAGAATTCGTCTCATTGAAATAAAGTTTAAATAATGATCCTTGAAATTGTTTTGTACTACTTACACATGTTTAACTTTGTTATATCTTTATTTATGCATTCACACACCCGCGCGAAACACACACACACACACACACACACACACATATATATATATATATATATATATATATATATATATATATATATATATACACACACACACACACACACACACATATATATATATATATATATATATATATATATATATATATATATATATATATAATAAAAGGAAACTATTATAAAATTATATATAAATGATTAGGTGCAGCCTGTATCCATGTGTATGTACCACTGAAACACATTATCACCGAGAATATAGGTGTTTGTGTACTCAATAAAACGAGTCAGACGTCAATATAAAAACGACATCGTCTAATTATCAGCCACACTTACTCAGTTGATTTTTGCTCTTAGTTTGCTGACTGGTTTTCATGTTCGAATGGATTAGAATGCGCTGATGCGTTGGATTGGTCAAGAAGCCGTTGCCGAAATGAAAACATCTTTGTCGAACGGTTAGCAAGGCTTTGTGATCGAAGGTCTTCAAAATGTGTGCCTCCCTTCAGCTAGCATCAAACAATGAAGGAAAAGATTTCCCCATCCTTACCCCATTTCATGATCTCATACTTGATCTGTGAGCGTAAAAGACGTTAGTCTGATTGGCTATCACGAGTCAAGTGATACGAATAAAATAGATAGTTTGTAAGTAAAAAGAGAAGGACCCTCACGCCTACATAGATTGATATTTGTGCTTGTGCGTGGTCGTAGTGTTGTAACGAAATATAACCGGAGACAAAAAAGTGAACAAATGGAAATAAAAAATAAAGAGCAACAAAGATGAGGACAATCGTCTGAATGTAAATAGTGTGAATAATGATGACTCCTCATCCCAGCTATTCGGACAGAAAATAAAAATAAACTTTGGCATGAAACCAAACCAAGTACAATCCAAGCTGGTTAAGAATAGTTTTCTTTCTATCTTCGAGTATTGAGAATTTGGGATCATAAAGTGGAACAGAAATGGGCTAAACTAATTATGACTGAGTAGAGAGTTC